TCTGACAATATTGTCCTATATATACCTACTTTAAATTTTAATTACTATAAATTAAAACATTAAAATTGTTTCAATAAAATATAATTAGTAACTGATTGATTTTAACAATATTATAATTTGTAGGATATAAAATGTATGCATACCTAAAAATTTTGAAATTGAAAATTCTAAGGCTACAGTCAGAATAAACTAATAATCTACGAAATTAGAACTTTTTTTAAATTGTAATATTAACATTTTTCAAAAAAATCTAGATTATTATCCTTAATGTAGGAGCAGTACAGTTCATTGTTTTAAACTCTTTTTGAAATTTATTTTAATTTTAAAAATATAGTAAACAAAATTTCAACAATATATGAATGTGATTAACATTGAATTATAAATAACGAAATCGATATTTATTATTTCCTTCAATAAGAGGATTAGATGAAATTAAAAATAACTATTTTTACTAGCTTACTGTTTTAATACTAGGTAATTAATATTTTTTTATAATATAAGTAAAAAGTTATTTATTGATTAAAAACAATAAAAAAGAAAGACTAAAATACTAAATCAAAATCGGCTAAAGAAATAATGTATTAATTAGGTACAGTAATTTAATTAAATAAAAGAGTGTTATAATGAATGACACAGTTGGATATTTTTTTTCTTCATTTATACATTTTTAATTGCTATACAAATGGTATAAAATAAATTAAAGAGAAATCATTAATTAACAAAAAAGTTTCCCTATTATAATTTATAGTATATTCTTTATGCTTTCATTAAATTGGCGTTTCCTTGAATAATACTGCGATTTTTCTCAACATCTATTATAAAATAATAGGTTATATTATTTTTTCAACATATTCACTAAATATAATATTATTTTCAACAATTTCAACAAAACGTTTTTAATGTACAACTCCAATGACATATTTTTATTTTGTAGAAATTTACCGATGAATTCTATCTCAGTTGCCGACTAACCGGCCTAGGGCATCAAACACAGAGATAAAAAAAAAAACTACAGCTGTAGACACACAAACATCAAACAGGAGATAACCCTGTTTGGCGACGAAGAAAACTCCGTCCCTCGGAGGATTGTTTATCACATTGTGGGGAATGTAACTAAATTCTTCTTATTTTACCCACTCCCTCTACACAGACAAAGCTCATTCTTTTGTGTAATAAAATCGAGACGGAAAAGCAATTTCTTTAAAGAAAAATCTGAGTTGTGTGAGTATGTGCTTTTTAACGAATTCGTATGGTTTTTCCTTTTTTTTTTACTTCAACAAACAGTTGTCTAACGAACAGACTTATTTGTCTTTTGATATATACCTATTTTTTAACAGACAAGTAAAAAAGGAATGGTTACGGTTTAATTAAGCCTAAGTTTTACTTTGGGGACGAGATTGACGGAATTTCAAAAGTCCAATAGAAGAAAAAGTTTTTGACATTTCCGTCGTTTGATTATTTCCAATGTGCTGTTGACTAATATATAATATATATATATATATAACGAACTGGAGTATTTTATGTGAGCGAATCATTGTAACCACTAACAAAAACATTCTCGTTTAGAAAACAACTAAGATACTTTGAAATAAAGACAGATAAAAGTGTTTTTAAAAATTAAAAGTTTCAAGTTGCCCTTATAGACCTTCGACGAAATACTTTTAACACTTAATTTATCAGCTTTTTAAGTGATAATCATTCAAATTTCATAACAAATAAAAATATACTCCCATATTCTAAAAGTGATATGCCGATATGCGTTCAAGTTAATGTTTTTTGTACCCACTAAAAACAATAAGTGATTGTCATATATTATAGGTACTCTTATTATAGTGAACAAACGGGAGAAAGGGGAGGAGAAGAAGCCTCCACAAAGATTGTGACTTTACAAGACGTAAATTGGGCGCTCCTTGGAACGTCAGAGTTAACCACCAGTTAATTCCGTTATCCGATCCTTCCAACACCGGGGTCGTAAGCGAGAAGTAGAATTATGATCAAATTGAATACAGGATTAATTAATGTTCTTCAACTAAATTTCAAAAATAAACGATACCAAAAATCGATTTTCGTTTATTTATTTGACAATACATATTATATCGTCGGTAATTTATTGAACTTAATGGACGGAAACGTCGTTTTTCAGTCAATCGAAATTACCGATTCGAATACGAAGATATTTTTGCTTGATAGGTAGTTGATATATAATAAAATATGATGTCCGCGCATGTGTGTGTCTGTATGTGTGTGTGAACAACGGGTGTAATATAACACMTATATACTTAATGCCTATAACGATATTACACATACAATGCGTACTAAATGTAAACCGAAGCAGGGAAAGTCGATAAAGAATTAAAGCCCGGGCGGCCGGCTCTGGCTGATGGAAATCAGGAAGCGATCGTTTTGGCTAGTTGCCAAGCAACCAGCTCAGCTAACGGCCAATTTGCGATTAGCGCACGCTAGTACAATCGTTTTGCACACTTTATACCGACCACCCCGTCGACAGTGTATGCACGTCATCCGTCGTCGTTTAACTCCCGAACGACCAATAATTTATTGCGCCAACTAGTGACCGGCGAGACGGATTTCCCTGTTGCACTCGATTTTTATTATTACATATTATTATTATTATTGTTATTATTATATATTGTACCTACACAATTGCGCTGCTAATCGGTCGACAACAATTGAATAATATAATGTCGCCATGACGTGATCATTGATTTCCGTGTTATTTTATATACATTATTGTACGTCAAATAATACTATAAGTAATATTAAGTATACACAACATCGAAATTCGAACTTACGAGATTATTGTACATTTGTACGAGAACAATTATTTTAAGCTACTGATCCAAACGAACAACAGAGTTTTGGTTTTACAGCTATATACTTAAGCGGCCGAACTATTTAGAATGTTTTATTTATAAATGAGCTTTCCAAAGGTTTCGAGAGCCACCTGCGCTTTTAAATGATATCACTTTATCAATATTCAGTAGATATGGTATACTAGTTATATATTATATACTATAAGCGTAAGGAGAATCTACTGACCATTACCATGTTCAGCTCACATCTTAACATCTAAAATTTGCAGTATATACTGCAAAAATCTGCTAGATTATTCTATTTATTTTAAATGCGTTTGGAATCGTTTTTCGAGTATCGTAATTTATTATTATTTTAAAATATCACAATGATAACACGTCACTGACCAAAGCTATAAGATGAACGAAATTATATGAATTAATTCATTCTTAGGGAGGGGGCGAGGACGCGAGGTAGTGGATCACATAGGTGTAACACCGTTACTCTAATATACCTAGTTATTTTGGTTATTTATTAGTCACATTTATTAGTCACAATAAAATTGTTAACATATACGAGTATAAGACACATAAAATGTTAAGTTCGATAATTCCAGGACAACAACAACCCTCAAGCCAACGAACTCCTAGCCGATGTTCATAATATTCGTAAGTCTTTCGTTATTTTGTATTTCACAAGCGAACCGTAAAATAATAAAACATTATATAAACTAGATTACTAGAACAACTCACAGTACCTATTTAATCTAGTTTTCTTAATGCTCCCGAGTTAAGGTTAATATTACATAATTCAAAGAGGGCTCTTAAAACCCTCACTGAAGTACCTATATATATATACATAGGTAATGTTATATAACAGGTTTCCCAACCCTGTTGCATATACATGTTCATTGTTCACCCAACAATTCCGAATTATTACATTACAAGCAACTAATTATAGGTTACTGTTATTATACTGCAGATATAATACTCTGGTGTGCAGCAAGTACCTACTTTAAAAAAGATATTGGAGCACATTTTTGACTTGCGCTTTCCTCGAATATCATAAATAGCTATGAATAAAATATGAATAAAATATGATATATATAATAATATTTTTTAATATAATTACACGTAAGTTTAATTTGAATACATTTAAACAAAAACTATATGTTCAGTGATTGCACGGCGTTTTTAATAGGCTTTATAGGTACACCACTGTCGAGAGTTGGTTTTTCCGATAAGTATACGGTTTTACAACACCCACGTTAATACTTATAATACCTTTACCTACGATAAAATTATATATGTTGAATAAGTTAAAATTATTATTTAACGACTGAATCACTGAATGCAATTTTAAGTAACAACGACAAAAAAAAATTAAGACGTAATTAAACTAATAGATTTTATTTATTATAAAATAGTCGTAGTAGTTGTAATTTAAAATATTTAAACAAATCATTATTAATGAAAATGTTTATGCAGTACCTTCAACCATTAAAAATGAGCGCTGTCTTACCTATTTTCGACACACCTAATTTAGCAATTTACTCAAAATATAATGTACATATACAACTGAAGTTAGGCACAACCAAACCTAAGTGCACCGTCTGTCCGTAACTATATATATTTAAGCTTAGTGCGATATTAAATAAGTTCGTTATCTAGTGATTAAATAAATAGGTAAATATTATTTTGTGTATGACTAAAAAGGTATATCTATAGTATCTATCTAGTATTCTTATACATATTATTAATAAAATTGTATATACATTTTAAAATTTGGTATTTTATTATTACTCACATAACTTAATATAATATTTTAGCATTCCATTACGTGTTAAAATATCCTAATCTATATGCTTAAAATATACTTCCAATGAAATATAATGCCCACCGTATCTATAGAATTTAAAATTTCCAAAGAAAAATTTATTGATCTGCGTGAACGATATTTTAAATATTATTTTCACAACTAGGTGTGAAAACATATATTAAGTAATAATTTATAAGTACAATAATATTTTTACCTGCGTTTAACATTATAATATAATATTTTAATGTGATGTACAATATGTGAACATAATTTGATTTAAATTAAAGATGGATTATTATAGTTTCTAATATTATTCATTTTAGTTTTCAATAAACATTTTAACTATTACATGATAATTTAAAATTACTTACATTAGTTATACATTAGGTACATTGCATTTAAATCTGTTGGTATTCATTTTTTTTGTACGTCCAAAGCTCAAAGTAGGCTTTTAAACTTTCAGGCTGCAGAAAACTAAAAATACATTTTGTACAAGTTAGTTAGGTCATAAAATATACCTAATTGGTTTGAAAAAAAAAATTGTTAAAATATTTGGAATTGTAAAGTATAATTTATACTTTGGTTATAATATTTACTTATTTTGTAGATTTTTGTCCATCAAATAAATAACTAACAATATATCTAGTAAAAATATTAATTAATCAGTTTCAACAATTTTGCTGCAAAATATTTATTTTTTTTTAAACTGTTATACAAATATACTACTTGTATCTTATTTATATTTTACACGAATATCATAATAGTAAAAATAGATTTTAGTACATTATAAATTAACTATTATAAATTATTAAAAACATTATAGTTAGTAACAGCTACTGAGCAGGTATCTATTACACTGAATATTCTATAAAAAGTGTTAAGTTTAAAATAATTAAGTTAAAAACGATTTTTTAGCACATATATTTACTACGCTATATCAGGTCAACAAAGGACGTTAATCTATTCGTATCTCTTTAGACATTAACCATTAATAATAGATATCGTTGCTTGTCTATTATGCAATATGGTTGACTTCTTATATGGGCCATATATATTGGTGTGTGATGCGTGCAATATGCTGACATGCTTGAATTATAATTGGGACGAATTACCTATGTTAGCCATAAATTAATTTCAATTCATTTGAATTTCATGATCAAACTTAAAAATGTACTTGTATAGAAAACCAAAATAAGTTTAAAACTAATGATACAAAGCAAACTTTCGATTTTAAACAAGTAATTTTAATATGTTATATCGTAATAAGTCTTATATACAAAGTTACAAAGTATATATCTAATTACTCGTGCATATTCAGATAATATAGTCAATYACATTACTTTTTAGTGCATGCGCACATTATAATATTTTATTACCGCGTAAAAATAACTCAATTAAAATTCCTTAGATACACATTTTTTTGTTATAACTTCCAATAATAATGTCATAACTCATAATAATCGACAATACGTTATAGTATTAGTCTTTCGAATCAATACAATACAATACATGAGAATAATGTTCCATAATTTTCCGATTATTATTTCTATTACTATCCACCACATTAGTGATGCATGGTTGAAAAATCTTTGCGAATTTGTTTCCCTATCATAAAGCATCGGTYGGTTGGGTGTATGACGATGGGAGGGGGGTACATTATAGTATATGGCCCATTTATCATCACAGCAGGTGTATATTGCTGCGTGTTCGTGCTCTCATTTAAGATTCCGCTCATAACTTTTATTATTATACTTTTTCGGAATTAATACGATTTTTCATCTTATATTACTTCATTGTAACTAGAACCGTACATCTTTCCATCTCTGTTTCCGGCACCGCTGCCTCGGCTTTTCATCCATCCCATACATATACTCGTACATATAGTTTTTATATATATATATATTAAAAGCCCGTAGAGCTTTGGACGTTAATAAAAGCTTCGGCTCGCTGTACAATGCTGGAATTAAAACCGTCTTCATTGTTATTCTCGAAATGATTCTGGGTGGGAGACCTGTGAACCAAACAAAAAAGAAAAAAGAGAATAAATAAATACGAGAGAAGAAAAACCAAGGAGAGACGTATGTTATTAAAGGCGATGGCGGTGGAGTTTGATAAAAAGAAAAAAAGGTCGGGACGTATGAGAAATGAGCTTGGACTACCCACCATTTATTTTTATTTTTTTCAGTCGTATATTATACGTAATATGAAATACGAGAGAAATGTTCTTGCCTAGATTAATTAAACTCTCGGGAAAACCACAATATGTCACGTGCGTCTTTCGTGCCTTTACGATACATTACTAAATTCTACACATAAAAATTAAAAATATACATTTATTTTACTTTACTTTTTTTCTTTTTAAGTCATATCTACAAAGAATTTTAAAACTTTAATTTAATTTTTTATTGTATAATATAATAAATATGCTGAATGCTGATGTAAATATAATAACGCCCTTAAACAGAATAATGTGATTTGCCTATATTTAAATAAATTATATGTAAGTGGGTACCTACTTGGCTACCAATAATAATCTGTATTATGCAAATGCCTAGACCAAATTAATAAATACGACTATTTGATTCCATACATAATACCTAATATGTAGGTATATCAAAACATCAATACATTAAAAGTTTTTCTTTAAAATTAGTTGTAAATTAATAATATTTCAATATTTGTTAATAATAATAATAATAAAGTTATAAATGATTTTATAACGATTGTATCAAAACATTTTAATTGAGTTAGTGAAGATTAAATTAAATATGGAAGACACATCGTATGGCTTAAATGGTAGGTTAGGTTAGGTTAGGTTATAGACGATAATTTTTGACAGAATTTACAATTATTTTGGCTCGTGTAAAAATTAAAATTGCTGAGGGTGATTTAATTATAAAAATGTATAAAACGTGATCAAATTTTAATTTACTCGAGCCAGTACGTGAAAACAATTCTGTTCTACAGTCTTTAATACATAATACATTTTTTGAATTGGTTCAAAATATGTTTCTCAGAAAAATGTTTACTTTAGTAGTTATCGTAACTCAATTTCACCACAAAAAAAGAACTTAAGTCGTCCACACGCCAATGCTATTGCACGTGTTATTGATATCTTTCACTAAAAAGTACTTTTAAAACCCTTGTCTACTTATCCTAGCAACGTGTTTCTAACACGTACATTTTTAAAACATTGTTCCATAAAAAAGACGTATTTTCTCTTTTAAATATTTTATTCGACACAAAAATTAACTTAACCTGAATTATTTTAAATAAGCGCCCAATATATAAGAATTATGACACAAGTTAGTTTTATTGAGGTACGACGGTATGCGATCGCCGATTTTACGGCCTTTCCTTCAAATTGGAATTATTACAAGAGCCTCAGACAGTCAAATAGCGGAACTCTATTCAATGTAAAACTCCTTGCACTTAGGTACCGCAGTCCGCAAGTACCACAGAGCGTTTGGTTTAAATAAATCCCATTGATTATATTATCATATCTGCCAGAGCGCTATTTGATTTAAAAATARACTGCATTTACTATAGGTCACTTAGCCCACTTATGTTAACGAGCACTGTTCCTACTACTATAGGTAAGAACACAGAAGGTTGAATAATATTCAAAACCTGGTTTTAATGGTCGAAAACACTTTTGTTCGGGCGTAAAACAAACATAAAATCAGAGTMTCTATAATTAGAACACCCGTTCTACGACCATCGATTCACACGCACAATCGTCGTACCTATACGCTCTCGCTTAATCACTCGGCGTCAAAAGGACTGCTCGAGCGGCAATTTTATAAAAGCACAAATATTGCTGTCGCCTCAGCACATTTTGCTTCGCTGGCCGGACCACCTCCTTGACATTAAAATATTACCATCTATTTTACATATATATTATATTCACAATAACTGTGTACAATTAATATACGACAATAATTTATATATATTTATATATATACTACTTAATACAATATACATATATAAAAATAATATAATATATATTTTTTCATTATGTGTGACCAGTACCTTTATATCGATGTATTAAGCATCTTCTTAAGTTAAACGTGACCTTCATTCCAACTGTACACAATGTCTGAAGTATTAAAGTTTTTACACAATCCGTTGGCTAAATCTTGGTAAAATCCGCTATGGATGAATTGTAGTTGTAACAAAAATACATTTTGTAGGAATAATCAACGTATATTGTCTAATGCCTATCGCACATCGTCTAGGTTTTAAACTTTAAATATTTTAATTAAAATAATTGTAAATTATATGTAACTAAAATAAAATTTGATTTCTGTTTGACGCATTCTACATCTTTAAGAACAATAAGTAATATTTAAGAATAAAAAGTTAAATTGAAGTAAATTCATAAAGTTCCTATTTAGTTATTTGTTTACACTAAATACATATTATTTAAAAAATTCTTTATTGCAGCATCATAAACAGATAGTTATATATAATATTATATAAAGCTCAATAATTAATGATAATATTGTAATAAAACAATTTTCAAATATAATACATTATTGACTTTCTTAATAAATTCTTAAGTTTTATTTAGAATCTTATACACGATATTACGATAAATTACTCGTATTTTAAAATTTCACTTAGATTAAACTTTGTTTTGGTGTGTCTTTTCTATCTTATAATAATTTTCTAGTTTTAGACACTGTAAGAATTACTGTGGTTAGGACCGCCCTTTCACACACCCTTTATTTTCAGCAATAAAAAAAATAGGTGTTTTTCTTATTGTTCACGTTTGAAAACAAGATCATCATCAGGTGGTTTAACAAAAACATAAAATCAAGTATCTATCTTTAAAATACTAAAATATATTGATAAAAAAAAAAAAAAAAAACAGAATACTTTTTCATATTAAGGTAGGACAATATTTATTTCCTCAAATGAAATAATAGATAAAACAACATAGTATAGTATAGTATAGTAAATATAACATTATCATTAATTTTAGAATGTATTCGTTAATTATCCTTCAAAAAACCAAATTCAAAATGAAAACCAAATCTAAGTATATATTTCATCATTCAATCATTTAGATTACCCGATTTGAAAAAATATAAAATATTTTATATCAAATGATGGAAAAATTAATTTGTAGCGACCAAATTTAATTTTTATGCAATTGGTTTTAGTTTTTAACACTGCAGTGTCACAAGACGTGTAGACATAGATAACAATATTAAAATAGCTCTAAATTAAAATAAAGGATTCAAGTAAGTAGGTGTAAGTTATTGATTAACTTTTATTTATTTATTATGCCATAATAAATTAATTTCGAACCGTTTTAGTCTCGTGTGTAAACATAAAACTATACATCATAACAGGTAAATATTATTAGATAAGAATGTATTATGTATATCAATTTAGAAATTCAAAAATTTAAATATTTACACTTTTGAAAAACCAATAATTGCACACARCAGAGAAAAATTATCATTGCCTCTTGGTCACACCTGCAGAAATCGGAAAAATCCCAACTGACTCAATGTATTGCATACCGACTAGTCGGGCGACTACCGACAACTGTTTTACAATTTAATTTATATGATTTGTCGATTTTTGGCACCGGTGCAGCKTTTCGATTRCATTCTGTGCGTATGTGTCTTAAAAACCGCGCAACAGCAATCCCGTGAGGTTGTTAAAAACTTTCAAGCATCGTTCTAGCACTAAAAATTAGAGGTTGTATCAATGAGTGTGTAAATTTGACGCATATAACCCGCACAACTGCACAAGTATATGGATCGCTCTACATTACATACCTACATAACATGATATGATAAATATTATCATTAATATATTATATTAATACAGAATATTATAACATTATAATAATGCCACTGCCGTAAATTCACCGACATCAGAGCTAAACTCAACATAGAAGACAACCTGGAAGAAGCTCTAAGTCCACAGCCAATCAACGTAGAAAAATTAATTAATTATTTAAAACAAACTAAACT